TTTATTAGCCAAGTTAAGGCACTGGGTTGGTCTCAGTGTCAGTGACCTCAGTTCGTGCCCATACAGGGCTCCAATACGACGACTCAATCATCATACTACTAAAATTAAAAAGAAAATGCTAGCCAAAGCAGCAATCAAGTTTGTTGTTAGGATATGCGCAAAACAATTTGTGTCGATTGGACAGACAAAAAAAATAACGTCGGCTAGGTAGGCACGAAATATAAAAGAGTACACAAACTTTGGACAGGGGCAAAAAAATATACAAGTACGTCGACTACAGGGTTCGAACCTGTGAGGGAAATCCCACTGGTTATCTGGAGCATAGCTTCCGCTCTTCAAGACCAGCGCCTTAACCACTCGGCCAAATCGACCCCCTTATTTGAGCTATCTGTTTTTCTTGAAAAGCATCCAATTAGCGAGGATCTTGAGTATAGCTTACAGCATTTACACATAGACCCAGACTGGGCGCGAGCTGTAGCCTTGCAGCGCTCAATCCAAGTGTATTCTTGCCAATACATTTATGACCGGACAACGACAGGTGCTTGTCTTTATGCTGTTAGTTTTTTGAGACTTTGTCCAATATAAAGTTGAAATTAAAATCGTTGAATATCTCTTCCAGCCATTCTTTAGATTGCTTCTGCTGTGCAAAGACAGATATATTGCTGGAGGCGCCAGATGCTAGCAAGTATTCTTTAGCGACCATTGCGCGTTGTAAATTAGCTTGTAAAATGCCACAGTTTGCCCCAAAAAAGCAGGGCGCTGTAATTCAAGACTTTATTTCCAAACAGTACTCAAATACACCTTGATTTCAATTGAGCAAGGCGGCAATGCTGCGCACACCGAGGCAGCATGCACAGCCAGCAGTTATGGCAAATTCGTGGAATAGCTTTCAGATGCTGCATTGACATAGCGTTAGCAATATGAATAAAAGCCAATGCCCCCTGTCTTGGCTATAAGCTTACTCTATCTATTGCTATATTCTGTCAAAGAGGATACTATTAAACGGCAAAAGAGAGTTTTGTTTGTAAGAGCATCGCCTATTGTACCGCGATTTGCCTAGTGTTTCGCTGCAGTATCTTTCTACCAAAGTAGAGATTGTCTCAGGCTTTTCGTGATACCCTTGACCTTGTCTGAAATAGGCGCTCTTTAATAATGAGATATTCACCTCTGGCTCCAGCAGCATCAGCCAACGCTATTTTTAGCCCACCTGACTATCACGAGCTACCAGCTATAAAGAGTAGTCTGAGTGCTATTCCAGTGGCGCCCGCCATTAGTAGGTTTGATGATATTACTGATTTATTCCCAAGTGGGGCAGTCAAATAGCAGGCAGCTCCAACATAAAATGTCAGTTAAAGCTACTTGACGCGAAAATTTAAAGTAAACAGTCAACGCCCAGTGCTTGCAGCCATATGAAATAATTCCATCCGCGGTTTCCCTATGAGGCCTACCCGCCCGAAACTCGAGCTTGCTCCGTGTGAGAAAATAATGAGTCTGTGCCCTTCTTGCAAAAGTTGCAATGCACAAAAAGACAACCCACCAGGCTAATTAGCATACACATGATACGTAGAATTGACTAAAATTTGCCGACCAAAATATTGCAGGAGCACCTTCATAAATTTGGCCACAGCTCTTAAAGTTAAAACAATATTTATTGTTATGTGTGGCGACTAGTTCACTATTCTGTTAAAGTGTCATTAAAAAAGGTGGGTACCTTAAAAGGATGGGCTTATAAAGGCCACAAAAAAGAATATACCTAGTTCTTGTTCAGCCACCTCTTGAGATAGTACTTTACACATGGATCGTAAAATATGAGGGTCATGTACGTCTTTGAAAATATTCAACAAACTAATAACTATCCCAAATGTATCTAATATACCACAGGCAACAGGGTTCTAAATATTTTTTGGTGAGCCATTGTTGTACTATTTAGGTGCATGTCCTTTACTCATATGAAGAATGTGTGCCTAACAGTATTAAAATGGTTCACGCAAAAAAAGCCAGAACCTGAGGGGACTTTGGGTGAGGCAAAAGTTCTTTTAAAATATGTATGTTTTTGTAGCCACTATAATCTTTTCATTCATATACAACTGTTTCATTACTCAAAGCTTCATGTGTATTGTGAATTACTAAAGTCACTGCTATATTTTGAAAGCAAGCTGATAATTGCGGGTATCAAGATGTCCCTCTATGTAGATAGATGAATACACAATTTAAGTACGATTGGCTATTACACTGTCTTTATAACCCGCAAGCATATCCAATGCTGATGTTGAAGCATCATCATCATCTCTCTTGAAAAGCGTGGTATTATTTGGCAGGATTTTGGTGATCACCCCATTACAGTAATAGACAATGTAAATAAAGTCCATTGTAGCTCGATCAATTGATTCGTGCTTGAAGGAATCATTGTTCAGGTGAACTAAGCCAATAGGAATGTTCCTATGTAATAAAAATCGACAGCATCATTGCCACTCTCCATCTTGTAAGCATAGACAACCAACCGATCTGCATCAGTTACAAATTCTCCACGCTCTTCACGGGTGTTGAGCATAAAAACCTGTTGGTCATTGTAGCTATCCATATCAGAGCTTTTAATTCAATAATTTGTATATCAATACTCAAGAAGCTTAGTGACTGGAGAAGATAAATAGGGAGGTGAGGGGGAAAAAAGGGACAAACGCCTTCCTTTTTATACCCGCAAAAGGAGTGAGCACCTTTGCCTGCAAGTTGGATAAATGAAGTGTATCAAAAAGCCCTTCTCCCAATCAACGGGGCACTGGCGATGACTGCAGCCAGCAGGTGCCATTGGCAAGCTTTCCAAAATGGCAGTCAACGCTCCCCAATGGCCTTTCAGTTGCTGCCAAGGTCGTTTTTGTCTAGCTGGATTGTCCTTCAGCAGAGACCCTCCACAGCTTTTATTATACTCTTTAGTGTCCTAAGAAAGTGCCTTGCCAGTAGTATGATTTTCTATGCGATTATGCTTAGTAGAAAGCTAAGAAGCTAACACTCCTAATTTACAGAGGAGCGGAGCATATGTAGTGGCCCAGTTGGAGATCACTGCTGCCAGCTTTGGGCGCAGCTCAGCTCGGCGCAATAAATAAAGTAAGTTCTTTGAGAGCCTTTAGCTGGTGCTGCTCACCTTTCTCTCACCGCCTTGCACGCGGTAAAGAATTGGCTTCTTTGAGCGTCTTTCTTTTTAATCCTTAGTGGCTTTAAAATTGAAAAAGAAACCCTTTGTATAATTCGCTCATAGTGCTTTTAGGCTTTGTTTGATCGAGTGCGTGTTTGCACGCATTGCTTTTACTCATTTTCTTTTTATTATTCGCCTTTCAGCTTTCACCCTTCCTATTTTAGAGCAGACCTATGCTACATTTGTCTCTCATCTCTTTTTTATTTATATCCTCTCCAGTCAGTTTTATTTTGTCGAAAAGTACCTCTTGTCTCTTGCACTTTAGTTTTATTCGGTCGATTCTTGTCTATTAGCTCGCTTCTCAAACTTTGCGCTCCCTTTTAAGAATGCATATCCGTACGAGCACCGCCGTATCTCTTGCTGTCGCACTGGTTGGAGTACAAAAAGCGTTTGTTGTGGGGGCAATGCCAGAAGAAGACATGCGCGCAGGCCCGCCACTACGACTTGATCTGGCATGCCCTAATGATGAGGGCAAGATTATGTGTGCCAGCACTTCTTCGCTGCTGGTGTGTAATCACGCGCACTGGCATTTTCTGTCCAATTGCCCAGAGGGCACAGCGTGTCAAAACGACCGCTGCATCAATAAAAATGAAGTCACTATGCCAGTCATTCCGCCAGCAAACCCACCGCCAAAGCCACCAGCAGAGCCAACGTCAACTACGAGTACAACTTTATCGGCTACTTCGACCACTACTACAGCCACCACTACCAAGCCTACAAGCAACACGTCAACTACCACAACAACTACGGCCATCAGCGACAGTTCCAAGAGCAGCAATAGCAAGGGGACAAGCATTCCCAACATCTCTCAGGTATCCGACTTGCCTATTAAGAACAGCAGCTCCAAGAGCAAGGGCAGCAAACCAACCGGTATTCCCAATATCAGTGTGGTGGAGAAACTGCCCATCCCGGGCAAGGGCGACGACGACGACGACAAGGAGGACTCCGATGAGTCGGACACTTCCAGTGCTGCTGGCCAGCTGTCGTGGAACCGCCTGCATATGGCTATTCCAGTGGTGTCTGCCATTGTCGTGCCATACGTCATCTCGCTTCTCTTCTAGTCATTTCTATAGTATTTCTTTGTATGTCAATCAATTGCAAGTGCATTTGTAAATATTGTTATTAATTATTAATGCTTGGTAATTTGAAGGCACTCCAAGAAGAAACTTGAGAGTGTTGGCTGGCAAGTAAAGAATATTTATTCGCCAGCAAATGTAAGTTAGAACTTGGGACCTACGCCAAACTTGCAGATAAGAGAGGCATGTGCAATGGCTTATTCTGAGATTGCCGCCTCCAAACTGGGGTTCACTTTAGCTTGGCTCAATGAAGTACAAATAAGGCACTCATTTTTGCGCCTTTTATGGTGACCAGACATATCTTCTCCCAATGCGGTAATCTCATCTGAGCACGCTTTCAAGTGCTCGTTAAAGCACTTTTCGTTGTCGTACTCTCGGTGGCAATGATGGCACGTAATAATCAAGAGTGGCGGTTCGTTCATTTGCTTACGGAACTAGGCTCAGCAAAATTTAAAAAGGTTAAATAGAGGGGTTGAAAAGGTTGTCGAGCTCAGCACCTTTCCAAACCAATGCCCGTGTTTAAATTGTCAGCAGGAAGCGACAGACAACAACACATTCAAAGTAGGCGACTTTCTATTTGGCAATTGTTGGCTTTTTCACAATACGCATTTACTGACAATAGACTGCAATTCACAGAATATGCTATGTAGAATCAGCGAGTGTTCTTAAACCCCAACACAATAAGATTCTAGCTCATTTGCACACACTCATGCAGCTGAAAACAGCGGTTGTCAATGTGTCCAGCCAATTATAAAAGTTTCTTTGCCAATTAGGAATCCACCATTTCAACTTTTTTTCCTTGGGTTTGACTAGCCTTTTTTTCTAGATGAATGAGCCTTCTCAAAACGGGCCCAGAATTTGTCCTACCCAATAATAAACCGTTTGCACCGTTGTAAAAAATATCCATTTTATAATCTTTATTGTCAAGAAAACTAAGATATGCCAATATTAAACAAGCCAAAATGCCCCTAGTCTGATGACGACGTATCTGAAGGTGGGGTTGGCTCTCTTGGTTTCTTGTTTTTGTAAGTCGGACAGTAAGAGCCCACTTCGAAGCGATACACGCCCCATTTACCTCTTGGACATTTATGCCTGCTAGGTATCT